GCTTGATGCGGCAAAAGGTCTGACGCGATCATTTTTTTAACGTCAGCAGACGGGCTTGCTTGCGAAGATCCAGCATGCGTGTAGCTACAGTGTCCAGAATCGTTCGAAGACAGAGCTGAGATGACGCATTCGTCAGAGGGAGTCAGCATGGCGAGGGCAATTCCACGCGGGCGCACTTGTGGACACAGAGCAAAGTTGAGCACAGGAATCAAAGCGCGGTTTGCACGTAACTGAATAACAGTGTGTAATAAGGGAACACTGTGAGTCAAAAGAATGAATGTAATGGGCGCGAGCATATAGTCGCCATCGGATACAGGTGGTGAGGGCATTACGGCGATGCAGGTCACAGTTTGCGGTGACAAACGGACATGCTCAGCAGAGCATATACCAGCTTGGGGTGGACTGGGCGGATCAGTCGGGTACGGTAGGTCAAGTTGCACAGTACCAGCTGAGCAATCGATGAGGGCGGAATGAGTGGACAAAAAGTCAAGACCGAGGATCACATCATTGGTGCAGTGAGAGAGAACAGTGAAGAGAACTGAAGTTTGACGGCCGGCGATAGTGACGCATGCAGTACTGACGCCAATAACAGAGGCCGTACCACCATCAGCAACACGAACACTGCGTGAAGGAGCTGGAGCAAGGACTTTTTTTTAAGCGGTCACGAATGTGCAAGCTCATCACAGAAATATGGGCGCCAGTGTCCACCAAGGCTTTACAGATAAACCGTCCACTTCAACGTCGATCAGGTTCTGATTGGTCGGCAGCGTCAACAGAGGAATTGGAGAGCAAGTCGTATCAGCAGCGTCACCTCCAGGAGCTGCAGCCGTTAGTTTTTCGAAGAAAACCGCCAGGCAGGGAACGGGGCGGCGGTTGAGACCGGGAAAATCTACGTCGAGGTGAAGGTGAGCGACTGTACTGGGCAGTGGTTGCAGGGGTCGGGTCGTAATTAGCTGAGCCATCATGCCGTGGTAGTTCCTGGCCATAGAGATGGGCTGGTGAGTGGAGGTTGGAGAAGCTTGAGCTTGCCCGATACGGTGAGGTCCACGTGCTTCGGCAATGACGGGAAATGTGTCCCACTCGTTCACATCGAAAGCAAATCGGCCTATCGTCAGGCGTCCTCCACGCATTTCGGTCACAGTTACGTGGAGCAGGGCGGCGATAATGCTGTGGGTGGCTGGAGGTAGATGAACGGACAGCGTCAGGACGGTGCACAGAACAGACCGTGTGAATACCCGCATTGGCTAGTTCTTGGCGAACAACGGTCTGTATTAGCGAAATGGTCGGATGAGGGTCACTCGGTGCTAGTGCTCTCAAGGGTGCGAGTGATGTGGCCTCGATTTCGCGGCGTACGATTCTCGTGGTGTCATTGGAGTGTGAATTGGGCTGGGTCGCTATACGAAGATCCTCGCAAGTTGACGTCGCAGCAGTGTTGGGAAGGCGCGTAAAGTGGTAGGCAATGCGACGGCTTTAGCCTCTTGAAAGCGTTGGCACTTTGAGATAACATCTTGCACGATAGAACAGCCTCTGCACACAAGGAGGTTGAATGCATCGTCCGCGATGCGCTTGAGCACGTGCGCTACCTTGTCTGCTTCAGCCATGGTTCGGTCAGTTTTACGGCAAAGGGTCAGCACATCTTGTATATACGCCAGGTAGGACTCCGTGGACGTCTGAACACATCTGCCAAGTTCTTTTCTAGTGGCCTGCTTGCAGCCGGCAGATTGACCAAACAACTCGTGTAACTTGGTCTTGCATACGTCCCAGCTCGTGATCGCGTCCACATTATTATTAAATCATGCCTTGGCCGTTCCTTGCAAATAAAAGATGATGTTTGCCAGCATCTAGGTTGGGTCCCACATGTGGTTTTCGCTGACGAGCTCATAGAGTTTAAGCCACTCATCCACGTCCTCGCCTTCCGTTCTCGAATAGTTGCCGGGATCGCGGGGTGGAGCGGCCACGAGGAAAACAGGTGAAGTTGGCGCCGTTGATGCATTGGGTGCGACAGTTGACGAAGCGTTGCTGCCGGTGGACATGTCGGAAGCAGCTACTAGGCGTCCGCTGCATAACTCCGCCTTGTGTCGTAACCCAGCACCTTCCATTAAAATGTTACATGAAGATACACACGAAACTAAGTGTTAGAAGATGTATTTACACAGCGCCAACGTGCAAGCCAAGATGGAGAACGAGTGCTGAGCCCTACACCTAAATCAAGTTGTCTTTCTCTGCACCTATCTAACCGCTTTTGTGGGGCATTGTCTCATAACAGTATGTTCAATACTTATTCCTCATGTGTACATAAATTTCAATTTATTGTCTGCTGATGCTCAGTTGTAAATAAATATTTATTATTTAGGGCCTATTGCATTGAGGTATGCCTGTCTTTCTTTTTTTTCACTATTCACTCACATTCTGCATTAAAACACTTGTCCTTGCATCTTTATATCTGCTTGTATTTTGGTTTTCAATTGATTGATAAGTGGGGTTTAACGTCCCAAAACCACCATATGATTATGAGCGATGCCGTAGTGGAGGTTTCCAAAAATTTGGACCACCTGGGGTTCTTTAATGTGCGCCCAAATGTATTGTTTTTTTTATTTTTGTGTAGTGCTTATAAATATGTATGGATATTGATGCCTTTATACTCAAAGGCAACTGTGTGGAAAAGAATGTTAATAAACTGGGACTGAAGCCCCGAATCTACTACATCTTCGTTCCATGTGTGCTATATATATCCCGCTTGTATGTGCTATTCAAATGAAGATAACCTGGCAGCATACTCTGAAGATCAGTTTTTTTTCTTCATTTACAATTTATCGGGGCACTGTGTGACGAGCACAGCGACCTTGTACCGTTACAACAAAGCTTGTTTTAAACGAGAAACGCCTGAGAGCGTGGACTGAGACGTGCATATGCGCCCTCTAGAGGCTGTATTGTAAACTCTTTCAGCTTTGCCGTCGCGTTCACAACAGCAGAAAAACCTTTCTAGCCACTATAGTACATAAACTCGTTCACCGTGCCTTTACACAATAGCTATGGCACTGCGTCTGACTCTTCTGATGGGAGGCTCACGGCAACGTGGTTTCGGTTTCGTTTTCATGCGCAGGCAATTTTTGGACCTAATTTATCTGTACAAAGATGTTTGTTAGATTTGATTGTTTTTAAAGCTGAGAATACACATTCCCTTGGACCTCCTTCAACTAATTATTGCTGCCGTTGGCTACCACTGGCAACAATAATTTAATCTACTCTCATTTCAGAGGCAGAAGGTTCTGCCCTGGGCTTATTTAGGCAGTCTGTACTCGTTTTTTTGGGCAAGGTTGAGTGTCGCGGTCTATAATCTTAGTTTTTCGATTATACGACGCCCGGGTTATACAACGGTTTTGCGTGGTCCCCTAAAAGTTGTATAATCAGGGTTACACTGCACATTGTTTTTGACCTAGAGAGGTAGCCAAAAATCCTCCCAAAAATTATGCTTAAAGACATTGTAGAAATGGCATATCTTTTATTCTATTATGGTTTTTAAAAATCTACTCAGAGGTTTGGACTTTGCAGAAAAAACTTAACAAGTGTATACGGTAAATTTTATTCTGTTCTCCCAACTATTAAAAACACGTTTTCTGAAAACCCAAGCCTCCTCTTAGTGGCAAATAGGAAAAAAATTCAGTAGCGTTAAACCGGGGGAAAGGGCAGTGGTGGTGTTGAACAACTCTTGGCTATAAGAGTGATCAATAGCATTAGTGGTGATCCAGACCTTTTACCACACTGTTGTATGTACTTCGTGAGACACGACAAACTATTGGTGTTGTGAAAATGTGCCAAGTCTGTCAATGCGCTTGAATTATTGAGGTGGATGGTGACCAAGAGTTCAACACAACACCTGAACACTCTCATTTGCTCATGAAACATTCTTTTGTGCCTGATGACACATGTAATACAGTTGTTACAGCGTCAGGCTTCAGTACTGGAGACCAAGAGGTTTATTGATATTTATTTACATATATAAATGCACTTCATCACTGCTGCCCTTTCTGTCCAGGCCCAATTCATAGGCGCACACATTTTGCTAACTTCGAACAGACAGTTTTTTGTAGCCAGTGGTTGCGTTGCTAATACAATAACAATGATATCGGAAATTCTTTAGAGGTAAACCATGGAGGCTCTAAATACAAGAATGAAGTGACTGTGCCATAGAGGTGTGAAGTGGCTGGGTTATCATGCCAGCCACTACAAGTACTTTGAAAAGATTGCTTCCCTACAAAGCTTTTTCTTGTTGCAAGAATACGGCTTCTAAGTAAGGAAGAACTGCAATGGCCCTTTATTTGCAGGCACTAACAGAAGCTACCTCGTGAGACCTTGGTCTGACATTGCTGATACATGAATGCCTTGCCCTAATATCTGACTTGGTGATCAAAAGGTTTTGTAGAACGCCCTATCAGTCTAAGGTGTTTTTTATTAATAAGACAGTACATGTATCTCACATTTGGAACAGCTCCATCGTGGCTGAATCGCAAACCATTTGCATATTACTACAAATCGGTTTTTTGGGTTAAGACAGGGAAATTGATGACCTCCTGTTTGCAGCCCGAAGCCGCAATTAAATCCCTATGGATTTCTCAGAAAGAAAGCTTCTTAATTGTCCAAAAATTAGCCCGGGCCCGGGGATTGAACCTGTGTCCAATGACTTTCCACGGCACTTGCTCTACCGATTGAGCTAGCCAGCAAGCTTACAGTTGGCAGCAAGAGGGCAAATTCATCAACTCGAAACACATGGATACACATTGTTCCAAATCAATGCTGCAGAATCCCGTGAGCTTGTAGAAGGGCAGAAAGGTCTTCCTGTCGCTTTTGCATAGTATGAAAGTGGTTGTGATTCAATTTCTGGAAATGTTCTCATTTCCGTACTCTTTGTTTTGTGTTAATCTTATACACAAGGAGAAATTTTATTATCTCTTGATTTGTCATGCCTGATTGATCTGGTATTTAACTGTGTTCTCATGTAGGATTCTTCAGGAAGACCCACGCCTGTTCGAGCTGTACAGGAATTTGGTTGTCAGCCGTGTCATCACCCCAGAAGAGTTTTGGGCCAACCATGCTCCTGTGAGCCCTGCTCCCATTTTATCTTAGCCCTATATAAGAGATGACATAAATATTCAAAAGTCCTTTTTGACATCTATCTCCTTAGACATCAATGTCCTCATTTGTCTGTGTAAAAGACTACAAAAGCTGATGAATATGTACCATAAACGCCTCTGTCACCCTGACACTTTGATTATGCTTAGTCATTTCGTAGCATGCTAAACAATGGTCTGGTTATCTTTTGTGAAATTCAGTAGAATATAGAGAGCATTAAAATTTGAAACAGGGGATTCGAAGTTAAGGGACAGTATTGGTCAGGTGTAAACTGCAATATTGTACAAAAGGATCCACAAGGCATGTTACGCAGGAGTTTGTGTACATAGGTACACAAACATTTTGGAGAGCTGTGTGTCTATAACTCTCTTATCTTTGGTACAGTGACTGTCATATGTGTAGGGCACGCGGTGCAAAACAAAAACTTTTGTGTTGGTTGTAATATCATATGCTATAAATTTACAAATACAAATGCATTGTTTGTTATTTTTAGACGTTGCAGCTTTGTGGGTGTCCATGTGCCTTAAAGGGACCCTGAAACGGTTTTGACGATTTTTATTAACACATTGGGCTGGTAGACCAAGTCCCAAGGGTAATTTAGAGACGAATTTGATCTCTCTGCGTAAATTGTGTAATTTATTACAATGCTTTAAAGCTGCGAATCGCTCCAGATCGCTGCAGATTGCTGCGACTCGGCCTAACGCGTTTTCAACCGCTCATACACCAAGCGACACGCTCTGCCTCACTGACGTCATAGTTTTCAGCTGATCTGATTAGCTGTGCAACGTGCAGCACAGACTGCCGGTATCTGATCGGCAGCGGGAACGCCATATTGTGACGCAGGCGTCGTGAAGATGCAGCTTAGCCCCCAGTGTTCGAAGGAAGAGTTGAGGGAAGTTGAGGGTGAAAGGCAGAGCTAAGGAGGAGGGTACTTTTTTAGTACTCGTAGCTCCGTTAATAATGGGTGTTTCGATTGAACTCTGGTGCCAATGATTTGCTCCACTAGTGGTCTAATCAAAAACGGAATGTGGAAAAAACATTTGAGGGACCCTCTAAAGTTGCGAGGTGATCTATAATGAAGACACTCACCAGGAATAAAGCTGTCGTATCTGTTCCGCTACAGCGAAAAGAGATGAGTGCTGCACTCAACATCATGAGCATAGAAGACAACGAGCTAAATGTCTTCACAAAAAATTCTTGAACTGCAATGATGTTTCTTGAACTGCAAGGATACTCTGCGATGCCGCAGAGTATCCTTGTGGGCAGAAATTTGCATTGACAGTTAACTCTGACGGCAGTGTTGCAACAGCAGCATCCATTCGAGTCTTGGTTGCACTTGCCGCTACAATTGCTCATTCTTCTGTTACTGTGAGGCATTCGAAAACTGCCATATACAACTTAGGAGCGATAGGGTTTGCAAGACAGCCCTAGCCCTTCTCTCCTGTAATCCGCCATCCCAACTTGTTGCGTTAATTTGGACTCTTGCTCACTCAGGCTTAATTGGTAATGAGGCGGCCCACGCAAGCACTCGAACTTTCAGCTTTCTACTCGCACTCAAACTTTCGCGCTCGCCCAGGGGACGTTTCAGAAACCAACGATTTACCTATTGCATGTACATCTAAAGAAAGATTACTTACATACAACGACATTTGCGGGCACTATCGCTTCGGTCACTATACCTTACCGCCTTTGCAGCATCAGTTCTCCCGGTCCTCTGGCGTAAACTACAAACCCGAACTTTTCTCTCCCCTACCTTACGCCACAAAATTTATCCTGGAATTTACCCTAATTCAGACTGCAAGTTTTGTACGGTAAGGAAAGTGGAGCTTAACCACATTATGTGGCAATGTCGAAATCACTCTCCTCCCCCGAGCTTTCGTAAACAAATAAGTAGTCAGGAGCGTTGGGAGGCTGCCATGCGCAGCTACAACCCCGACCTTCAGGAGGCTATCCTGAGGTGAGCTTAGGTGGGCTTAGGTGGTAGAAGAGGCCTACCGCGAGTAGGAACCCTCACCTTCTCGCAGCCCCTTTCCCTTAAGATGGTATAAATAAAGTTGTTTCTTTCTCTTCCTCTCTCTTACCGTATATAACTTGCTGGTCATCATAAATTTACTTTTTTGCATACAGAGTTAACTCACATTGAACGGAACTTGAAGGGACCAGGAAACTGTTCTATTTAACAGAAGTTTTATTTACTCAGAGGTGAACAAGGCGGCAGAACAGAACTATTAGCACTTGTTCTATTTCAGCAGCAGTTCCATTTAAGAGATGTTCATTGAAATGAGAGTCTACTGTACTTCTAGGTATTATTAGTGCTCATGAAGTAGGCGGACTCAGTAAGCAGTTAACCAAGATTTTTCACAGTGCTCTCCATCGGTCGTGGAGGAGCGTTAGCACCACTTATGTGCTATGAGAATCGACATTAACCCACGCACATTACAGGGATGTATAGATCCATTCTTTTAATGAACACAGGAGAAATTGACTCCTGGTACAGTTGCATCTCTGTTTCATGTAAAACTGCACTAATGTCATTGACTACTCGTTGGATGAAACTAAGCATGTGCACAAGTTGATTATTGTTGCTTCAGGTATTGTGAGGAAGTTTCTGTTAAAAGTGTCGTTTTGAATATCCGTGAAACATGGTAGACTTTAGGGTGAAGTGTATTTCTGTAGCACTATGTTGAAGGCTGATGTAAAATTGAGTCTCATTTTGTAAGCAGAAGGCTCAATCGACTTGCAGCTCTATGGTTTCCTTAATTCGGTACTGCTGCTCAGAACTGACAAAACAAGTTGCGCACACAAATGCATACATTCAGACTAAAAGGGATATATTATACCTACCTTGGTGTCACAGGTCCCGTTAATTAGGGAGGCGATTGCCAGGCTAATTCCAAGTGCCTAAGTATCGGCCCCCAGAACTGCACCACTAAAGCGCGGACAATGTAGAAGTGGTCCTATTTAGCGCGCCAGCGGACACCGGCTGTGGTCTAAAGAACAAGTCAGAGTGGAGAGCTGATAAACAAAACAAAATATATTCTCAATTATGGCAGATCAAACGATACACAAATATGCACACTCGACAATAATTGAATACGATATTGCCGCGTGCATAGCTGCATTTAGCGGCGAGATAGCGACGACAACGAAGAACGCGGATTTGCTCGAGGGGCGCAGCGCAGCAGAGTGAAGAAGACGACAATCTTAGCGGCCTTCTCTGAGAGCGTCTCTACAAGTCCTACTGTCCGTGTTTTTAAATAAACCCCCTGTCATTTATAACCCGCGACACTGGTGGAGGAGCTGGGTACTACCACCTCATGATCAGCACCCCTGTGAGAAGCCCCGAGTCCAGCCCTACGAGACAGCCACGCGTGGAGACGCCTGTGCACCGCTCAAGCCGTCGCCTTCAAGGTCTTGAACCAGAATTTGGCCTTTTAAAGGGAGCAACACTTCCGACTACCACCCCTACTCAAGAAATGGCAAGGAGTCCTGCACAGGTGACGGTCCAGAATATGCGCATTCCTGAACCATTTCATGGCCGGCCGAACGAAGATGCACAAGACTGGCTTGAGCAGTTCGAACGGGTAGCTAAATCGAACTACTGGAGTCTCGATGGAAAGCTCTTCCACGTATACTTTGCCCTTGAAGACGGCGCGAAGACATGGTTTATAAACCGGGAGGCAACATTGACGACATGGGAGGAGTTTTGTCGTCGGTTTCTTGACACCTTCGGTAACGCGGACCGACGCGAAAACGCACAACGCCTTCTTGAAGGACGCACCCAACAGCTGCATGAAAGCGTCGCCATGTTTGCTGAGGATATGGTGCGCCTGTGCCACCGCGCGGACCCCAACATGCCCGAGGCTCGAAAGCTAACCCATCTCATGAGGGGCGTCAAAGAGCAGCTATTTGTTGGTCTTGTGCGCAATCCGCCGACAACAGTGGACGAGTTCACCAGGGAGGCCACCGCAATAGAGCGTGCGCTACAGCAACGGTACCGACAGTCCTATCGCCCGGCCACCGGCGCAGCTGCAGGCGCCGCCGCACTTACCGCAAACGACGAGTTTGCTCTACGCCACCTGATTAGACAGATTGTGCGTGAGGAGATCGCGAAGGAGAACGCAAAATACACATTGCAGTCACAGGCGCCCTTGCAGCAGGAGTCCACGGTAGCCTCCGTCGCTGAAATAGTTCGCCATGAACTTCGACAAGCGTTTGCCTCTCCTCAGCAATATTCCGCTCCACCGCACCGTCCAAACTCGTATACCTATGCAGATGCTGTGCGTCGTCCATTGGCTCCAGGAGTATCGTACCAGCCGAACGGATACAGCTATGCAGACGCTATTCGTCGACCCACGCCCATGCCAGCGCCGCAGTACCTCGAACCGTATCCTGTGGCAGCCTGGGCTCAGCAGGATTCTGTCAGGCGACCCTATATGCGGAAGACCGACATATGGCGCACTGCGGATCGTCGACCACTCTGCTACAACTGTGGAGAGCCAGGGCACATTTGCCGTTTTTGCCCACATCGCCGAGCTGAATACCGCGCTAGTGCACCTACAGCTACGCGCCGACAGTTCGACGAAAGCCGTGCCCCCATCGACGACGACCAGGCTGGCAGGCGGGAAGGCTCTTCTACCTTCCGGACGCGGTCACCATCACCGGCTCGCTTTGGTTCACCAAGCCGCCGTAGTTTTGCTGACGCCGTTAGAGGTCGGTCTCCCAGCCCACGGCGGGGAAACTGAAAGCAGCGACCTCGGGGGGGAAGGTTGCAAGCCGTTGAATTGCCGAAAAACCCCCACTGCTGCCGAAACACGTGAGAGACGACGATGAAGACTTCGCCGAAAAAACTGTGACTGCCGACCTTGCTGTGAGGATTGACGGCGTTGAAGTGACGGCCGTAGTCGATACGGGTGCAGACTTCTCTATAATGAGTGAACGATTGGCAGATGAACTCAAGAAAGTCA